ACAAAAATTTGGCTTTTCAATGATCAAAATTGACACATCTTACACAATTTCAATATAATACATTCACCAAAACTCATTCCCATTTAATTAGCCATAATACAAATATTAACATCACAAAAGTCAATAATATTACATATCTCTAAACAATTCTGGGTACTTTTCTCAAACTTCCACTTCCCTTTCCGAAGTAGCTTCTTCCACTCCATGGTGATGCCAAAGTACCTTAACTAGGGAGATGGTTTTGCCTCTTAGTACTTGCTCCCGGGTGTCTAAAATCCTTATGGGTCTTTCTTTATGAGTAACATTCTTATCTATTTTGATTTCGGCCCAATCAAATACATGTGAGGGATCGGGTTCATATTTGCGAAGCATGGAGACATGAAACACGTCATGAATTTCAGACATCTGTGGAGGAAGGGCAAGACGGTAAGCAACTTCTCCCACCCGTTCAATAACATCAAATGGGCCAATGTATCTAGGTGATAGTTTTCCACTTTGGCCAATCTCATCAAACCCTTCTTTGGTGATACTTTCAAAAATGCATGGTTGCCCACTTCAAAGATTAATGGCCCCTCCTTCAATCCGCGTAACTCTTTTGCCGACTTTGCGCCCTGATTAGTCTCTTTCGGATAACGACTACCTTTTCCGTAGTCTCACGAACTAAGTCCGGGGCAAGCATGGGTGAATCTCCTACCTCAATCCAACACACATGAGACCTACATGGACGCCCGTATAATGCCTCAAAAGGTGTCATCCCAATGCTAGCCTGAAAACTGTTGTTATAGGAAAACTCGGCTAATGGAAGATATTTCTCCCACGTCCCCTTGAAGTCTAGTGCACAGACCCTTAACATATCTTTTAAATTTTGGATGGTACATTCCGATTGGCCATCAGTTTGGGGGTGATAAGCGGTACTAAAGTTCAATTGAGTCCCCATGGCAGTTTGCAAGCTTTGCCATAATCGTACGGTGAAGCGAGGATCTCTATCCAAAACTGTACTTATGGGAACCCCATGAAGCCGAATAACCTCTTTAACATACAACTCTGCTAAGTAGTCAACGGAGTCACTCATACACATCGCAAGAAAATGTGTCGATTTAGTTAGTCGGTCCACTACCACCCAAATAGCATCATTACCCCTTTGAGTTCTAAGGAGGCCGGAGACAAAGTCCATGGTGATGTGTTCCTACTTCCATTTAGCTACCGGCAAGGGTTGTAATAATCTGGCTGGTTTTTGGTGTTCCGCTTTGACTTATTGACACGTTAAGCATTTAGCCACAAATAGAGCTACATCCCTCTTCATACCCTTCCACCAAAATTGACGACACAAGTCTTGATACATCTTTGTACCTCTGGAATGAACTGTTAAACGGGAGTGGTGGAATTCTTGCAATACATCCTCTCTACAAGATTGTGGAACAAAAAGGCAATTTACATATCGAATGCCTGAATCGGAAAGCACCCTTAATCCCTTATCCCCTTGTCCTTGTGAGATCTTCTCTCTCATAATCCGCACTTCCAGATCATTCTATTGTGCTTCTAAAACTTGAGTGACTAACGATGGTTGAATTGAAATCGAAACAACGTAGCTTGATTAGGCAATTCACCGAGTTGTACCTCGAATTCATTTAAATCCCCCAACATCTTCCATTCTCTCATGGCAAGGCTGGCAATCGTGCTCATAGATTTTCTACTTAAAGCATCTACGACAACATTCGCCTTTCCCGGATGGTAATGTAATTCAAAATCGTAGCCCTCCATATATTCCATGCATCTTCTCTGATGTAGGTTCAAATCTTTCTGCGAGAATAAGTACTTAAGGCTCTTATAATCAGAAAAATATATCAAATTTCTCTCCGTATAGGTAATGTCTCCAGGATGTTAAAGCAAAAATGACTGCAGCTAATTCAAGATCATGAGTAAGGTAGTTTCTCTCATGAGTTTTCAGTTGGTGAGAACCATACGCTACAACCTTGCCTTCCTGCTTTAAGACACACCACAGCCCTTCTTTTGATGCATTACAATAGACAGTGTAACCTCTTCCTCTCTCAAGAATAATCAAAACCAGCGCGGTAGTTAATCTGGCCTTTAATTCTAGAAAAGATTTCTCACTGGCATCGTTCCATATAAATTTCACCCCATTCCCGGTTAGTTTGGTCAATGGTGCCGCTAAAGAGGAAAAATCCTTTACAAAACGCCTATAATACCCAGTAAGCCCCAAAAAACTACATATCTGAAACACATTTCTAGGTCATTCCCATTTCTGCATGGCTTCAATTTTCGATGCATCTACTGTCACTTCATCCTTTGAGACCACATGACCCAAAAACTTCACCTTTGAGAGCCAAAACTCACACTTCTTGTATTTAGCATAGAGTCGGTGTTCTCTGAGAAGTTGTAAGACGATTTGAAGGTGTTTCTCATGCTTCTCTTTGAAGGGCGAGTAAATAAGTATGTCATCTACAAAAACCACCACAAACTTATCAAAAAATTCTCGAAAAATTAGATTCATCAAGTCCATAAAAGTTGCAGGAGCATTGGTTAAGCCAAACGGCATTACTAGAAATTCATAGTGGCCATATTGGGTACAGAAGGCTATCTTGCGAATGTCCTCCTCATTCACTCACAACTGATGATAGCCCGATCTTAAGTCTATTTTCGAGAAACATCGAGAATCCTTAAGTTGGTCAAAAAGGTCATCTATCCAGGGTAAATGGTATTTGTTCTTAACTGTGGCTCTATTGAGTTTATGATAATCGATACATAACCGTAATGAACCATCTTTCTTCTTCGCAAATAGGGCCGGTGCTCCCCATGGCGAAGTACTAGGGCGTGTAAAGCCTTTGTCTAACAATTCTTGTAACTACTCCTTTAAGACAAGTAACTTCGCCGGGGCAAATCTGTAGGGAGGCATAGAAATAGGTGTGGTCCTGGGCACTAAGTCGATGGAAAATTCTATCTCACAATGGGGTGGTAATGTCGTGAGGTCTTTAGGGAAGACATCGGGATACTCACAAACTACTTTAGGAAATATTCCTCGACTCCCATTATTCTCATCATCTATGACAAATTTTTCAACTGTCTCTAAAAATTTTTCAATGTTTCTAAAAATTAAAAATCAGTGACATTTTTTTGTGATGATTTTTTTTAAACTGTTGCTAAAATTTATAATTAATAATATTTTTTATGATAAAATTTTTAAACTTTCGCTGAAAATTAACTATTAATGATATTTTTTAATAATATTTGATAAAAAAATATTATTAATTTTTATAAAATTTATAGGCTTTGTTTGGCATATACTAAAATAATTAAAAAGTCAAAAAGTCACTATTCTATTTAAGTCACATCATCTTATTTAAGTCACATCACCTCTCTACAACATCACTTCAACCTCAACCTATATTTCATAAAAAATCAAAAAATACACTTATTTGGAACCTCGCAAACAACCTTTAAATATATAGGATTTATAGGTCTCCCGTGACATTTTGGATTTTAAAATGAGTATTCAAAAATCGGAAGCCAAATAGGTTTTGGATTTTGAAAAATTGATTAAAATATTTAACCAAACGCAGTGTGTATATATTAAGGCGGTACAGCTTCGATATTTGTTGGGTGCAAAACAATCAGAAGAATTGGGAACTCAATAGGCGAACCTTAGAGTAGAGGGTTTCTCTTCACCAAGGTTGGGGTAGCAAAGTTTAGTTCGTTAGGTGAGAATATTGATGTTTGCGATGCCAAGTTTTCTTTCTCTTCACTAGGGTTGGGGTAGCAAAGTTTAGTTTAATTAAATAATTCATATAATTTCTTACTACCACAATCCATGTCAATTTAGCTCTTCTCCTTCCTTCCTCTAACATTTCTATTTACGACGATCATATTACTGGTATGTATGGATAGAGTTTTCCTTTATGTATGCTTATCTTGTGATGTTCGGGGATACACTTGTAATTTTACATATTAAGTAACATGTTTTTCTTACCAGAAAATAATCTATTTGACTCTTATTTAACACATTTTTAGAAGTTATTGAAATCTCTCTCTCTCTCTCTCTCTCCCCCCGTCTCTTTTTAATGAAGGTAATGTTTACTATAAGATCAAATGTTACTGAGAAATGTAAGTCTGTGGCCCTGTTTTCGGTTCCCAAAATCATATCCACTATGTATTCTCTTGTTCCTTGCTTATCTTTTTCTACATAACCGTCGAAATATCCACATAATTATTTTTATTTCCTATAAAATAAAATAGATATTTGTTGCGTTAACTCATCCAGTTAATCCCAAAATTGTGTTTTTAATTTGTTCCTCCAAACCTATTTGGGATTCATAGGTGCTAATCACATTAATTATAATTTCTCCCATTACAAGTTTAATTAACACGATTATGTTCTGCCTCCAATTCTTGTAACTGTTACTACCTTATCTTTAGCAACAATTAATTGTACATCTTTCCTAGTTTTAATGTATTTTATATCAATATTTTCAATTGATAAGCGTAGTGTGGTCTATGCAAGTTATGGGAAATTAAGTTGGATGGTGCGTCTTTGTAGTCCCTACATTGTTGTTTTATGTCTTAAAACAATATTTGCTTACGTTCCCAGTTATCCCAATTTTTTTTACCCAATTGGTTTCCTATATATGCTTTGTGATTCGTGCTTTAGTAGTTCTTAGTTAAACAACTACCTACTGAACTAATACCTTGGAATTTTAATTTCTTCCTTCCTCGTTCATGGATGTGTTGGTATAACTATATGTTTTGTCAATAAAGGAATGTACATATATAGCTTCAAACCAACAAAATGGGTCCATCATGATTCAGACCAAGGGAATTGACTTTTTGAGAGTCCTTACTTCTTAGTAATGTAGATGCACCTAGACTCTTGTTTATAAATTATAATTATGGTGCATCTTTTTGTAAGCACCACTGCCTTTTTTTCTTTTGTAGATTATCAAGTCTCATTCTTGTTCACCTGTATTTGATTACTCATTCTTAAACAGGGAAGCTGCTCTAATTGTGTCTAAACGAATGCTGGCAGATTATTATGTTAAAAGCAGTTCAGAAAAAGAAGACAGCAGAAAGGTATTTGCTCATTGTAGAATGCTGAATGTACTTGCCTGTACGAGAATTTGATCTTAACTCCCTCCCTCTTTTGCTGTCACTTTTTTAGGTGTTGACACTTGAACCATATGAGACCCATTTTGGAAAAAGCAATGTTAGGCAAACATTGGAGCTTGAAGGGAGTGGCCTAGCCACCAGAAAGGTTTCTTGGTTGTTTTATCCTTATTTGGGAAAGGTAGAAAACAACCTTTTGTTGGAGGTCTATAAATTATTTGTTTATTTTATCTGTGTTCTTGATTTTTTTAGCGACGTACTTTTTTTATTCATGGAGTTTTTGAATTTTTTAATTGCTACTAGAGCATTTTAGGAAGGACAAGCCTAATAAGAAATATAATCTTGACCAAGTGTTACTAGCACGTTTTGAAATATGGTACACTTTTGTTCCAAAGCAATTAATTATCTATCCAAAGTGATTCCAAAAATTTTTTCCTTTGTTTTTCTTAGGGGAAAAATTAAATATAATGAACTAAAATCTAAGGAGGACTGTAGTTTTGGAAGGACTAAATGGGAAAAAATGCTCATAATGCTTATGAAAATGTGCTTTTTCATGATCAATTGAAAAAAATGTACTATTTTTTTTATTGGATGTCTAATCTTTGAAAGTAAATTGCTCTAGGAGTACCTTAAATTTTAATATTGTAATTTATACAAGTCTACCCCTATCGTTTCACATTTTAGTGCATGTGGTGTTTTATGTTCTTGTTTTAGTTCCCATTCCATATAGCATAACGATCCAAGTAACATGGGTTGAGACAGAGAATGGAAAATTTGGTTTTGGTAGTAATGGAAATTTTTTGTTTGTTTTGAATTCTATTGTATTCAAGGAATATGAATCTTTTTCTTTTTTCTTTTTTTTTTTCTTTAAATTTTATTTTGATGAGAAACTTTATGGTCTATTGATTGTGTGATTATGGGGCATATTATGAAACATTGATGAATAAGAAATTTATTTTCTGTTTAATGTATGATCGTGGAGCATATTATGGTTTTATTTCTTACTCTCTTTTTTCATCTTGACATTGCGAAATGCTAAATCATGATGTCCCTTGGCGTGTATGTATGTATTGTCATAAGGTGGTTCAATTATTATTACTTTCACTGCAGCACAACCATCTTGGTTGATAATCACTTTTGATAACTAATTGCGCTTTGGAAAACGTTATTTGAACACTAGATTGATTATCAAGGCCAGCATAATTTTCATGATCCATTGTCAGAAATTGCCTTTGCAAAAGGGCAAATGGGCATAGTTTATTAAGCACACTAGCTTTAGCCAAAACATGTATTTTTGGGTGATTTGTGCTGCGTGTCCATTAAAAATCAACATAATAATAGTTAATTTGTACTAAAAGGATGCTAACTGATGTTGTGTCTTAGTTTGCCTTAAGTCCCTTTTGTCCAACACTAAAACCCTGCATTGGTAGGTGTGGAAATTGAAGTATAAAAATATGGAATGATATTACTTTTGATTTATCTAAAGATATATTTAACCCTTTTTTTTTTCGTTTTTCTTCACTTATTGTGCATTGCCCATCAATCCCTGAATTTTACCAAATTTATATTTTTAGGTAGTCCATGATGCCTCGTGGTCTGGGCCAATCAAAGAAGAACAATACATCAAGATTGGTAAGGCTATTGCGGTATTAGCGCATGGAACGATGTGCTATGTTATGTTCTGTTCCTTCAAGGTGCTAATCAAAGACAAGGATTACAATATTGTTGGCGAAAGTGTGTTTAAAAGTATTGTTAAGTTTGTCTTGAGTGTTTTTGATATGGTAAATTCTAAATTCCGCCTTAATGTGCCCGTGGCCAAATTTTCGTGGATATTGTTTTTGGTAGTAGTCTCACAGAGCTTTCATCAATTTTCTGTGGTTTAATATTTGCTTGAGTCTCGTGTAACTAAAAAAATTACATTAGATTTCTATTTTGTTGTGTTTGAACAACTCATGGATTTGATGGTGATTCATTATATGTTTGTCAAGTAAGATTTAGATGACTAGATCTAAATTTCACTAGGTGGATATGGCCGAGCTTGATGATGAACGAGTGCTGATAGGAATTCAGAGTGGATGAGTCATTTTAACTTGATGTGTGCCGAATGAAAATAGTGAAGTAGTTATATGTGATTCTCCATTGTGCTACTATGGTGGGTTAAGAATGGTTGTGTTGTGTCCATTGTCAATTGACTAACGCAAGGATTTTAAATATCAAATCATTTTTGCTCAAGTAGTGTTCATCTTATATATTGGTGTTCCTTTTGTTTTGATGGGTTAGGGACTATATGAATCATGGAACCCTCACAATTGCTTTAGTGTTCATCTTATCCTTTTTTTAATTTTATATTGCTCTACTTTTTAAAAGGCGAGTTTTGAAGTTTGAACTAGTTGACTGCTACGTGATTCTCACACAAGTGCTTCTTAGGTCAATAAATTATATTGGACTTGATCATTTCATGATGTGCGTCTTGTGTTGTTTTTATTTGAACTATTTTTCTGTTATCATTGTTGTTGTTTTTGTTATAATGGTGGTAGATTATAATATTATAGTATGAATGTCTTTGTTGCATGGGTTTTTATGGTTTGGAAGGTCTCTTTCATAGTGCACTTACATTGAATATATAAAATGATACACATTGGCGGTTGCCGGTATGTGATTTTGCTGTTGCAAATGTATCACTTTTGTCTTGTGTCATTATTGATGTATCTTCTTCTGATATATTTAATTAACATAATTTTTGTTTTTTTGCTATAGCTGTGGTGTTTCTCATAATATGTTTGAATTTACACAAGTGTTTATAGGGTGAATTGTTAAGGAATGTTGGTTCCATTGCTCTCATTTTCATTTACTTTTATATTCCAGGAAGATTTGGAGAGAATATTTGATTAGAGTGTGGTTGAGGATGAGTACTCAAAATTATGTGAAATTCTTGACTCTGTAAGAATTTTTATATAAAAGAAATTTTTTTCTTTTCTGGTTGTTTACCTGTTCTCTTTTTCTCATATGTGAAAACACCTTTTTCCATGTGCAGTGTAAATGTGATCCTCTTGTAGCTATTGCTGAGGGGAAGGTGAAAGTTGATCAATTTTCCACGCTAAGGGAACATGATCTTTGTGACACTATACGGGTAAGAATCTTTCTTTTTCATTCCTAGCAATTGCTTTGGCTTTAATAATTGTTGGAATGTATCAGGGACGGATCTACAGTAGGACCAGGGGTAAGAATCTTTCTTCCCCCGGATTTTTGATAATTCTGTTAGTACCCTAACATATATAAATTATATATATCCTTCATAAAATTGTAATAGTGTCCTCCTTAAAATGGTGATGATGTCCCTTCTATTAAGTATTTTCTTTCTAATTACAAAGATTCTACTAGCATGAGTCCTTCTACCATACACTCCACAAAAGGGTATACCATATACAAGTTATGATATTTCGTGGTGTTAATACCATAAAGTGTTAGAACTAAATCATTTTTTATTATAACTAAAAGGACCATAATAAATAATAACCAAACACCACATCTTCGGTCATAACCTAAAAATAATCCCAATAGGTCATAACTAACATCACAATGAGTCATAACCAAAATAACAGTCGCAAGAAATTATAACTAAGTTATAACCAATACTACAATGAGTCATAATTAATACCATAATGTGTCATAACCAAAGACTATAAAGATCATAACTACGACATGCAATACACACTTTTTTACGATTAGTTTTTATAGAATTTTCCTAATAAATATATCATTTGTATGTCGACTTATTTTCTTTTATAATTTTCCAATCTACTTGTAATAGTTATTCTCCAATATTTTTATAAAATTTAACCTTAAATCCCTTAATTTGAAATTCATATTTATCCAAATGGACTTATAATAATTAAGTTTAGAAATATTTCATTGTTGTTTATTATGAAAAAAAAAAAATCAATATTGTCTTTATGCAGCAACATAAATGTAGTGCCGAAAGAAAGGTGAAAGCTGATCAATTTTCCAAATTGCGGGAACATGATATTTATGATGACAGAACACAGGTAAGAATCTTTCTTCCTCATTCCTAGCAATTGCTCTGGCTTTAATAATTATTGTTAGTTTGTATGTTTCTCATTTAAATATTTGTCTTTATGCAGCTATATCCATGTAGTGCCAAAAAAGAAGTCAAGGTAATTTTTTATTTTATTTTGTTTTCTAGGTTGTGAAATAAATGCATTCTTGAATGTTCATTGTGGTAATTCATTTTGGTTATGTTGGTTGATTGGCTTCTAAGATATTTTTGAAGTGTGATAGTTGTCAAGCCAATTTTTAATGCATTGTTTGGATTTAATATTTTATAGTATCTCCCTGACCCTATGGAAACTAGATAAGCATACCATCAATTTATTATAAATTTTCTTGAGGTTTGTTTCGACGGCATTTAGATACTATCAAATTGGGAATTTTGTCTCAGGTAGCATTTGGTATCAAAGCTAGGTCAAGTATCTAGTAATTTTGCTTCACCAGCAGGCGACAGCCTTGCCTTGGCTGCCCTCCGGATCTCAACCCATTCCATTGCCATATTTTCTTTCAGTATCACTTCGTGGTGATCTTTTCCTTTATCCACTAGTTTATTCCTATCTCAAATATCTCTATCATATTTTTTTTTTACTCGCAATCCATTTTTTGGTGTGTTTCTATTTCACTTTGTCTTTCCCTCTATTTCAACCTCAAATAAGTTTCCATCTTCAAACCTATTTGAGTTTGAGGGGTATTATACCTATATCGTGGTGAGCATGGTGATATACCATGTGAACCACCTAAGGCGCCCCATCTGACGCACAATCCAAGTCACCCCCTCTGGCACACAACCCAAGTTGCCCCCTTGGTGCACCACCTAAGCCGCCTCTTGGTGTATTTTCTAATAAGCCGCCCCTTGGCACACACAGTCATCTATTGCCATCATCGTTTAGAACCACATCATAAGTTACGTATGTATCATACTTGCTGGTTCAACATCCAGTTAGTCTCTACAACGGTCCGACATAACCTCTTAAACTGTCCCGACATTGATTCCGGTCAGTTCCTACAATGGTCCGGCATGACCTCTTTAAACTGTCCCAACCAGTGTTTTAAAAAGCGCGCCTAGGTGCTAAGCGAGGCGAGGCGCAACGTTGGCGCTCGAAGTAGACGAAGCGAGGCGCATTGCAAAAAGCGCACGTAAAGCGCTGAGGCACGCACCTTTCACCTAGGCTAGGGCTGACCTGTTTTGTGTTTGTGTACTAGCCACATAGGATTAAAACTCTTATACAATACAAATCTGTTGGTGAGCTTCTTCGAATCGATTGATCTGAGCTTCGAAATCGACTGATCTGAGCTTCTTCAGGTTCGTCTCTGCTTCTTCTCTTCTCTCTCCGCTTCTTCTCTTCTGCCTCGTCTTCTCTTCTCCTCTCTTCGTTTCTCTTCTCTTCTCTTCTTTCGTCGTCTTCTCTCTCGCTTCTGTCTGGCTCACGATCGCGATCTCTCTCGCCGTTCGCGATCTCTCTCTCTCTCTCGCTTCTGTCTTTTGATTCATATATATATATATAATACATTATATTATACCTATTATATAATATATAATATAATAATATATAATTGATTCATATATATATATAATATTATATAATACATATAATATCTATTATATAATATATAATATCTAATATGCTTATATAATATATAAAATATAATATATACTTATAATGATAAAAAAAAATAAACATGTATGTAAAATAAAATAAAAAAAATTAATTAAAACACATTATGTAAAAAATATAATAAATAAATAAAATAATATATATTAAAAAAATTAATTATATTTTTTCTTCTTCTCTACTCTTCTTATTAAAAAAATTAATAATATACATATTAAATACTTTCTATGTTGAAAATTGTGTTATATTAATATTTTGCTTAACTTTCATAACTTACGTCTCGCTTTGGTGAGGCGCACGCCTTGCCTCGCGCCTCGGCGCTTAGGCTCCAGGTGACCTTGGCGCCTCGATGCGCCTAGAGCTTTTTAAAACACTGGTCCCAACATTGATTTTGGTCAGCTTCTTCTAGGGCAGTTCTTCTTCTTTTTTTCCCCTTTTTAGGGAGTGGTGTTGATGTATTAAGCACTTTTTGACTTTTTTTTTTATTTAGTGGACTACCAGATTTGTTCGGTAGCATTTATTTGGACTAGCTGTTGAGTTTTTTCCGGTTTCTTCCAGTCATCCATTGGCAAGCTGCAATTGTTGAATATCTTCACATTAGCTTGAGGGGGAGTGTTGAATATAGAAATTAGAGTACATAGAATCTTTTTATTTTTAGTATTATGTGGGTGTTTGGGAAGTGGCTATCTTTTAGGCTTTTTGGCTTTTTGACTATTTTAGTATGCTATTTTAGTTTTTGTGTTTAGGAAGATAAATTGAATTTTTTGTTTGATTGTTGTATTGAAAAATGTGGTTGAAATGATATTGAGATAAAAAAAATAATTAAATTATTCCCAAAAAGTTGTGCCTGACGTGATGATTGATTTGTTGGGATATGAAATGACTAAATTGCCCCTATGTGTTGAATGCTAAGTTGGTGCGTTAGTCAAAAATTAAAAGGGCAAAAACGTAATTTCAAATCTGCCCTGTACAGTCATGAATTTGTTCGCATCAGTTTTTGATTAAAAAAGAAAAAACTCAGCTACGGTACAACTTTTTGGCTATTTGAATGAGGCTAAAATAGCCTCTCAATCTCCTTCCCAAAACCTGCCTATGTATATAATCTGTGATTGTGTCAATCATTAATTTAATATTGTTTCTTATATATATCTTTTCTTAAATTGTGTCATGAATCTATTATATATACATGGCATTTACCTTATTGATGGGAAAAGCCAAATAATTCTTTTCATTCTTTTGTATGCACTAATGAGCTGAGAATTCAGGTTGAAGTTGGAAATTGTTCCTAACCACCCTTGCTTCCACTGCCACCATTCCTTACTCCACCTTCCTTAACGTCTATTGCCCTATCTCTCTTTCTGTTCTTTAACCTCCAATCCCTCCCCTATCTCGATCTCGATCTCGATGTGGTTGCAGGTCTTTATGTTAAGAGTTACTTGCTGATCTCACTGTTCGTCACTGCAAGTTAAAGACAAAGATGAGGATGGAGGTTATGGGCAGTGTGCGGTGTTAATGGTGATTGGCTGTAGATCTGGTGGTGTTGGCCTTGGTTTCGATGTTGTTGGTGGTTGGGGACAGAAGGGAGAGATTGAGGTTGGGGCGGTGGAGGGTTCAGATGCTAAGGGGGAGATGGTGGGAGGCTATTTAGTGGGGAGCTGTGGGTTTGGAAGGTTGGGTGGGCTGGGGTTGGGTTTCGGGTTTGAGGTTTTGGATCTAACTTGTGTATTTGTGGGCCCACGAATTTCCGCCTGAATTTGGAAGGAAGTTAGCTTCAGGAGTAAATTGGGAAAATTTTGAAACGTGAAGGGCCGAAGTGAAAAAAAAAACCATAGGGCCGGCCAAAGTGGGAAAACGGTCAAACTTAAGGGGGCAAAGTTTAATTTACCAATTTAGAAGTACGGATAGCAACAACAGTTAGCTTTGGGGCTGATTTTAATGGGGTGTTATAGCTGAAATTGCAATAAGAGTAGGGGACAGGTAGGGTTTGTTTAGGGTAATAAATGGTAAGAGTATAAGCATGAAAAGATGAGATTTTTTGGGGCTGTTTTAGGGCTGTGAACAGGTACCCATAAAACAGTATTTGGGCTGTTGATGTGCAGAAAATAAATGAGAGAAAGAAGGAGAAGAAGGTAGTTCCTAGGAATCACTCATTGAGGCCTTAGGCATCACACTTAAGGTTTGATTGCATTACACAATTCATAAGAAAGCTCCAAAGTTGTTAAAATCCTCTAAGGCCCAATTAGGTTAGACAGAGAATACATGAAAGTCAAAGAAAAAAGAGAAAAATAATTTTTTGTGTTTCTTTAGATAAAGAGTTCTCGAAAGTAATGGAAACTAAAGTTTCCTGTACAACTCAAATTCGCTTGTTAGTTAAGCTTACAATTTTTTTTGCAAAATATACATTTTCCCACAAAACTGGACGAAGAGTATTTTGTTTCCCTCTTTGTCCATACTTCTCTTAACAACCCCCTGTTATGCGGTGATTACATTTGTTTCCATCCTTTTCTTGCAAATTTTTTTTTTTATCTATTCAAATGCATGCAAGAAAATAAATTTTCATTTTTTTCCCTCTCTTTCACTTCAATTTTTACCATTTTCATTTTCTATCATTCGTTTCTTTCTAAACAAAAACGGAGCCTAAAATATCAATTCCATTGAATCAAAAGCATTACATGACTTAATATAAAATTCAAAGATTTCCTAGACCAACTAGAACAAAAAAAGTAAACGAGTAAAACGTTGACTTTCAAAACCTATCTAAGATCAAATAAGAAACATAACTAAAAATTAATTTATTAACTTGACCCACTTGACGACCCATGGGCGACCCCTACAGCCCATGATAGCAAATATGAAAATTGCCAAAATACCCATGACCTAAAAACTCTAAAAAAACAGAAAATAAGACTTTAATAAAAAAAACTTGAATCCATGGCAATTTCCAAATATTGCCACTTCTTAAACTCTTTTTTGCTCTTCTTGTGGATTGCATCAGCTAACTTCCTAAGAATCGGGACTGAAATTGGGATTTATTTCACCCTTTTGTGGACAAAGATATTTTTTTTTGGCTGTTGTCTTTCCTTCGTTGTAAGTACCTTGGTAGTCATGACTGCCTGTATGACTTTCTTTATTTGTTTTTCCTATTTTTCTTCATTTGTCTATTTATTTTTCAGATATAAATTGTTTTAGGAAGTTCAATTTTTTGTTCATACTTTTTGTTATAGGTTCTTCGTCCATGGGTTTTTCCTATTTTTGGTCCCGAGGTATTATTTTCTCCAGTGTGTATATGATAATCTTGTCCAATTATTCTAGACAGGATTATTTCACAAGGTTATATTAACTTATTTCCAAACATAATTTACTGAATCTTGCTATGTTGATTATTAATTTTATGGATGTAGTGGAATGATATTAGCCCAAACGAAGTAGCAATTGCATTAGAGATGCTTAGGAATTATGAGCCTCTGAAGGTATGAACTTGGCAGTTTTTGTGTTCTTGACTTCTTTGTTGAACTCTTAGAAATTTGTCACTATTGTTTGTCCTCTTTTTAGAGTAATTTTTCTTAACATTCAAAAGAGTTATGCTAAATTAACATCATAATTAGTACTTCAAGTTCTATTCTATAAAATCTGGTGCTGCTGTCCAAATCTTCTGCTGACATGAGTTGCAGCTTCAGCATCGTGTGTTCTAAACACTCATTGTTTGTTAATTTAGTAGTTGGAGCACATTTTTCTGTTTCGCTTTGGTTTCTTTACCAGTTTTTTTTTTTTTTTGGTAAGGTTCTATATTATTTTTACTTTCTTAAAATTTAAGTGATCAATCTTAATCATAAGTCTGATATGTTGTCCATTGAGAAGCAAGAAGATTGTAAAATGCAGCTTACCTTGGAGTTGACAACTGAGAAAAGTTATCGTATTCTTGATTCTTTGGTTTTAGAGGCTTTGGGGGGCGTTGACATTCAATTGCTACGTAATTGTTTACCTAATACAGCAGATGACGTGTTTCTCGCTGAGGATGTTACTTTTGCATGCTCAGTTTTAGCTGATGGCTTATTCATTGGGCTCTATGAATTGGCTGCTATGAAAGCATCTGCAGTATCACCCTCTCTCTGCTCTTTCCGCCCACCCCCTTTCACTTAATTTGTCTTGTGTGTGTGGAAATGTTACAACTTTATGTAAATGGATGAATCAAAGTGCTTGTTTTATGCATTTTTCTCTCTTTATACTCTTTTTTTTTTTTGGTGGTTTTCTGTTCCATATTTGAAATGGCCTTTCTTGAGTTCCTAAGTTGCACATACACTATTAAGATTTTGGCATGTTCATGTTGGACACTTCTTGACATGTGTATAACACACATCCTAACTTTTGCTATTATTATTTTTAAAATTGTTTGTATAACTGGACTAACTTTGCACAGTTGGGGTTATACATGTTTTTTGCTTACGCAAGCATGAAATTCTGAATTTTAGGAACAATTTTTGAAAATTTATTTAGATGTTTGACTTCTAAAATTGATGTTGGACTTCTTGTTCTCACTTCTTTTCTCATTTATAGAATGTGTGAAATGATTTCTTATACTAAAATAAAATAAAATTTTATTTTTAAAGTAAAAATGAATAGAGTTGTTATTTGGGTAAATTATATTGATTTTCCCTGAGTAATGATGCAGTTTGAGGAACTTTTATCGACCTCCCGTATGGTAATGATAGTTGTAATTGTTTTAATGAAGGTGATGGAATTTCTGTATTACCTTTAGGTACTTTGCGTTTAAATGCGGACACAGACATAGCGTGCACACGACGATATATTATATTTTATTTACTACGTAAATTAATTCTACATCCACAAACAAGTAATTCGATATTTTACAAACAATCGGAAGTGTCCTTGATGTGGCCCCGACGTGTCCCTTGAAAAAAATTAATTAAATAAACCTGCACACCGGATGGCGTGTCCCTATGTTCAATACCTCTATGACACTTGTTTTGAAGTGTCAGTGCTTAATAGATTGTCACACATTAATATCCAAACATCTACCAAAACTGCTAAAACAAGTTATATTCCCTTACCAAAATATAATTCAATGGCTAAGAATAAAACATTCGAAATTCTATGGCTACTAAAGGTTGCATTTGGGTTTATAGTGGGTTCCTTCATGTCCACATGCTGACATGAATTATTGTATGGATCCTGCTCAGTTTACGCGTGTTCAACCCTAAATCAACCAATTTAATATTCGTGTTGTCGTGTCATGTAATGTTTAATGTTTGTGTTTGTGTCAAATAAATGACCAACCCTAACTCTCTAATTCTGTGTAAATTTTGAGTTGTGTTAACGGGTTGGATGTCAAACTCTCACCCCTACCAGCAAGGGAACAAAAGGAAAAATAGAATACAAATTCCTAAATATAGTTACTGTTGAATTAATCTTCAGTTTATGCTTCAACAAAATTTGTTCCCGTCCCCTATCACTAGCTCCACAAGCTAGTTCTTGTTGTTTCATAGGTTTTCCTAATTTTATGTGTTCTATGCCCTGCATGTTCAAGTGGTTCATATATTTTTGTGGTGTACTTTTGATTTTTCATTTTTCCTGCCTTCATTTCGGCTGTTTTCAGTTACTGTAGTGCATCCTGGGTGGGTGTTCTGTTGGTCTCACCGAATTCCTTAGCTTCTTGCATTAGGGGTGTAAATGGATTAGTTTGGTTCGATTTTGGGGAAAACCAGGAACTGCACACCAATCTGGGAGCAATAAACTGCATGTCTAAATGATTTAATACGTTTATAAAAAATAAAAATAAATTGGACCTGGACAGGGGACTGGTTTTTGAAAGAAAAAGAAGCAGTTCAGACTGATTTGCGGATTAGTCAGTTTTTGTTTGACAGCCCTATCTTGCAATGTTTGGTCATGTAATTTTTGTTGGTAAGAATGTGTACATGAAATTGGTAATTGGATCATGGTGCCTTGAATCCCATTCGCAATGCTCTCTCTATGGTTTCTATTTTTTGTCTCCTTTCATGATGTCGTTTGTTTTGTTTTGTGTTTTTTGTTTTTTTATTTTTTGTTTTTTAACAGTTGCTGTACTTCCAGGAAGCTGTAATTTTTCCTTTATCAGATGGTCGCTTTGGACCTTTTACAGATGAGTTCATTGAAGTGATTAAAATTGCTGACCATGAGAGAAGAATGCAAGGTGATCGTTTCATCAGTGTAAAGCATCTTTTGTTTGGCCTTTCACTTTCAAGTGTTCATAGATGTGTTGAGATGATGCTCCATGGTAGAATGCTAGATTATGTAGGTCAATTAGCTTCGAAGCTCTCATCGTTTAGCATTTACAAGTTATCGCGTGATGCAGCTACCATTCTTGGTTAGATTTCTATTTTTGTAATGACCTCAACATCCTATTGAATTTACTCATTATAAATTTATATTGCCGCTGGATATTATGAATCTTTTTATTTTAAAATGGAGGTAAGTTGGGCTGTTCTGGAAATAGTTAAGGCATTAATGTTGCTTTGGGTTCGGTTGAGGAAACTGGATTTGTCCAATTGGTGGATGCAGTAGGTTTATGCATATTCATGTTCCCCCCTCACACCTGAGCATATATTTCGCAGGTGATAAGAATGTTGAACTTGAGCACTTGGTTCTGGCAATTTTCTATGGAAAGCAAAAAAATGATCGTACAGGGATGGTAAGGTCTATATGTATTTGGGTATCCTTTTTGTTAGGTCTTCCCATCTTCATTGTTATGGATAACTGACCAAAACGGGTCCACTGGCACACAAATTTTGGTTAGCTATCCGTGTTACTTTTTTCCAGCATATTTTGCTTGGCAACATGGGGTCTTGTGCTTGCTATTATGTCAATTATGAGTGACTTTTCCATAATTAGGATTAATAATTTTATTGGACTATTAGTCCAATCCCAAGCTCATGTCCACCCAAACAAACATGGCCTATATGTATTTGGGTATCCTTTTTGTTAGGTCTTCCCATCTTCATTGTTATGGATAACTGACCAAAACGGGTCCACTGGAACACAAATTTTGGTTAGCTATCCGTGTTACTTTTTTCCAGCATATTTTGCTTGGCAACATGGGGTCTTGAGCTTGCTATTATGTCAATTACGAGTGACTTTTCCATAATTATTATTTTATTTCTCTTAAAGGCTGCACAGGATGATTGCAGTTCTTTGTTCTTCGATGAGAAGAAATGGGATGATTACCTCTTGAAATGTAAGAATCAAATATCCATTCATTGTTTATATGATATACACAACTGTTTAGATATTTATATAATATATATATATATATCTATATCTATCTGTAAATGGAGTTTTATTCAATTGACTTCCTGTGCTTATTTTTGCCTTTTGCAATCTTCCCTCTCCCCAGATTTAAGATACAGGGATGAGTGTGATTTTGCAAGCTTCAATGACAGTGATTCTTTCAGATCATTGCTACCTGAAGATTGTTTGTCTTTTGGTACACCGGCATTATGTGGCTTTTCTATCATGGATGAGCTGCACAAGGCTTTGCAGTCTGGCTTCAAGTTGAACGCTATTCGGGGGTAGAATTATTACCTTCCCTTCTGTGGGCTGGTCTGGCTTCCACCGTATATGCTGTTTGATACATTATGAATGCCCCTGTGACCATGGCTGGAAGGTTATTATTACTTTCAAAGTAGGAATATATATCGCAACTCAAGCCCGTGTTTGATTTATTTATTTGTTTATCTTTTTGGCTAAAAATTAACTTAGGCCTTGTTTGGGAAGATGTTATTTTAGTAAGTTTTTGACTTTTTACGAAAAAATGTGCAGAAAAATAGAGAGTGATGTGACAATTTATAGTAACTTTTTATTTTTTTGGCTAAAATGTATAGTTGACAAACTAGGCCTTAATGTACATTTCATGTCAAAAGCAATAACATATATTGATAATAAAAAAATAACTATTAATAGGTCTTAATAGTTAGATTTAATTTTCATTAAGTTTTATTGTAAATAAGTCTTAGTAAAATCGTCGCTAAACATAATTTTTTGTGATGATTTTTTGCATGTCGTTAAAAATTGATTAGTGACTTTTGTTTGTTACGTTTTTTTATAAATTGTTGCTAAAATTTATAATTAATGACGTCTTTTTGTGACGAACTTTTTAAATTGCCTCTGAAAGTTAAAAATTAAGTACTTTTTTTGTGATAATTTTTTTAAATTGTTATTAAAATTTATAATTAGTGATATTCATTGTGATAAAATTTTTAAACTATATTTAAAAATTAATTATTGACGTTTTTTAATAGTGTTTGATAAAAAATGTCATTAGTTATTATAGAATTTATTAAATAATAAATATGACTATGAGGATCTAAATGCAAATCCTCTTAAATGTGTCCACCTATCATGAAAGCCCGTCTGTTGTACATCGCTTGCAAAAAGTCCCATTGAACTTGGTCGTACGCCTTGTTAAAATCCAACTTGATGGCCATATCCCATGCATTGCCCTTCTTTTGTAACTTTAAGGAATGGAAAGTCTCATGTGCTACAAGGATGTTATCTTGGATCATCCAACCCGACACAAATGTCGATTAGGAGTAATAATCTTACCCAACACCTCTTTCAACCGGTCTACCAGAATTTTGGTTATTATCTTGAGGTTAAAGTTACAAAGTTTAATTGGCTTGAACTGCAAAAGCCTCTCTGGAGAACTAAATTTGTTTGATACATCTCCTTCAAGAGAAATTCCCTGTCGAAAAAACTTTTTACAGTGTTGGAAACATCTGCCCCAATATCTGACCAATATTTCTGATAAAAGAGCCTCAGATACCCATCAGGCCCTGGGACCTTAATAAGCCCAATTGGAAAGCTGTTGTCTTGGTTTCATCCTTCAGTACCCCCCGAATTAGGAGCCAATTCATGTCTACCGTTATCACCGGATGCATCATTGCCAAAGCTTCGTGCAAATTTCGAGTACCCACTGTTATCACCGGATGCACCACTGCTAAAGCTTCTTGCAGATTCCGAGTACCCACTGATGTAAACAGCTCAGAAAAATAAAGATGCATATAGGAATTAAGTTCATCATCAGACTCCATCCAAATCCCGTTCTCAGATTTAAGCCTCACTAGTTGATTCCTTTGACGCCTTTAGGTAAGCGTAGCATGGAAAAACGCTGAGTTTTGATCCCCATAAGAAAGCCAATCGACTCGTGATCTTTGGGGAAAGAGCATCTCCTCCATTTTCAATAGCTCATCAATATGGGATTTGATGACTTGTTGCTGGCAAAAGTTCTCCTCAGTAGGCTCTTGGCCTTGAATGATGTTTACTTTGTGCTTCCACTCCATAAGCAATTTTTATTATTGCCAAATTTAGCTTTGCTCCACGAAACCAAACCATTCTGACAAGCCTTTAGACAATTAGTTAATTGAAACATGAGAGACCTATGAACCTAAGTGGCCCATGCACTCTTGATAACTTCCCCACAATCTGGACTCATAGATCACATTGTTTCAAACTTAAAAAGCAGTGGGATTGGTTTGGGGGGAATGCAACAATAAACAATTAATGGACAGTGGTCCAACCCAATAAAGCAATCATGAAGTACCTGAGTTGAGCATAGGGGAACCGCTCACGCCACTCCACATTTGTGTAGGCTTTGTCAAGTCTCTCCCGAATATTGGCTTCTCCAACCTGGTTATTTGACCAAGTGTACACGTGGCGCTTGAATTCTAGATCCATTAATTCACATTTGGATATAAACTGTTGAAAACCTGTAATCTGAGATCGGCTACATTCTAAACCTCCAATATTTTCCCACATAGAACTAACTTGATTGAAGTCTCCTATACATAGCCAGAGGTAGTGATTGACCTTGGCTTGAGAGGTCAGAAACTTCCAGAACTCCCTTCGATTGGCACGATTTGAAAGAGCATGTACAAAAGACACCACCCAACTCCCCTCAACGCTAGGGATACCAATAATACAGCGAATCAAATGATGAGATTTGAACCTAACATCCACAGAAGCATCGTCCATCCACCAAAGCACCAGACCACCAGACAAACCCTCAGGATTAACATAATATTTGTTAGGAAACTAAAGTCGCCTATGAATACAATCAAGCTTAGAGACTTTATTCTTGGTTTCCATTAAGAATACCAAGAAGGGAAGATGGGTTGTGATCAACCCTCAGAGGATCCGGACTGTCAACAGTCGTCCCAATCCTTGACAGTTCCAGCTGAGCATTAACATGAAGCTAGTGGCTATGAAGGGCCAGCCACCAAAGGCCATGCATTAGTGTCCTTATTCTCTGAGGGAAAAGTGCTCGATACCTAAGAAGCATAATCATCGACCTCCTCATGAACCGTATCAACCAAAATCTGCACCAGAGATTCATCGTCCACCACATCTACAGAGTTAGCAATTCGAACCTCAAACAACAATTGACTGGGAATCCCTCCCAACCGTCTTCTACGCAAGTAGCTCTTCGAACTATCATGGAGTAATTTCCTCTCCTTCTTTGCTGGATATATAAGGCCCGTTTGGTGGAGCTGTGGGAAAGTGATTATAACTTATAGCCTAACAGCTTATAACTTATAACTGTGAACATAAGCTGATTTTTTACTTATAAATTAAGTTTCTCCTCCCCCACTCAAAGAATAAGTTGATTTTTAACTTACAAAAAGCTATAAACTGTATTGTTAAGTTGAACCAAACACATCAAAATAGCTTAAATTAAGCTAAAAGCTAAAAATAAGCCCTACCAAACAAGGTCATACTCTTGCACGCCCTAGTTGTATTTGCATTAGTAGCTTTCAATCTCTCTCTAGCTTTCATCCTGAGATTTTCTTTTGATAGACAAATCTTGAAAATTTTGGGCCATGCTCTTTTCAACTACCCTAGCCAAGAAAGATTGATGGGATGGGATGGGATGGAGTTGGGGCTTAACTTTTCAATTAGAAAATCAGAATTAGGCCCAATGCTACTACCACTTGTTTGGTTAACCAACATATTTGAACCTAGCTCAGTGGGCTCAGTAACAAAATATTGAGGCCCAATTCCCCCCACTAGATTAGGCCGAGGGAGGCCTAAGCAGTCCAGCCCCACTCTTTGTTTTGGCGTCATCTCCCTTCTGATTGAGCACGCCACCAACCACCCTAACCGTCGTCACTTGGGACATGTTTTGCCTCTGGGTAGATATACAGACTTCAGGTACAACCACGCTCGTCCTTGTTGTATTAGCTAGACTTTGTGTACCCAACCTCGGTGCGTCCTCCGTACGTGGCACCGCCGACCTTTGTTAAGCCAAAAAACGCACTCGTTCCTCCGCCATGTCCACCCAACGACGAATTTGAGCTTCTGGGATGTCATGTCTAGCTTGGGTGCCCGACTTGTCCTCAACTCTGGTCCATAACCCGACTTAGCTCCCTCTTCACGAGACACAAATTTACAAGCAGATTTCTCATGACCCACTCTCCCACAATCGTAACAGAAATCCAACAACTTCTCATAGCTGTAGGAGATCCAAGTTTCTTTGTTCTCAGGGCCCTTCTGCTGCAAGATAATTCCAAGTGGAAGAGGTTTACTTACATCGACATCCACCCGGATTCGAAGAAAACTTCGATAGAACAGAAGACCATCATGCACAGCTTCAACACCAATGAGCCTCCCAATCCTTCGTCCTATGATCTCCCGAATCTGTTTTGTCATCTTGGCAACCGGAATCCCATGAACTTGTACCCAAAATGGACACCACTGAAACTCCATCTCTGCAGCAGATTTCCCCATCGAAATTTTTTGGAGGACCAGCAAATTCCCTATCACCGACCAAGAAGCCTCCAAGAGGACTTGGTGTTGGTCTTCCACATGATCAAACTGGAACAAAAAGTATTCTTTGGCCGTGGCTAGATAACCAATTTGGCCCTAGGCTTCCAAGCCCCTTGAATGATATTAGAGATGGCTTGTCGATTCAAAGTTTTCAGGGCCAAAATCTTCCCTATCAAGCAAAGGTTGGACACATCAACATTCTCATCAGATCACTTCGCAAGATCCACAGAGTCTAGGCCTTCAAGAGTTAAGGAAAAAGTCTCCATGGTAAAGGGAAAGAAAGAATGGGAACAAATGAATCTAACGGTAAGCCAACAAACACACCAGAGCCAAAAAATACAAAAACAAAATACCCAAACCCACTCTTGAAGAAAAAAAAAAAGAGCAATGTTAGGTATCATGAAAAAAATTTTATGAAAATGATCATGAAAGATTCATGACCTTTGGATTACACTTAAAATAAAGCACCACAAACTAATCAAGGTAATCCAAGAGTCATAAATTTTTCATGATCATTTTCATGAAAAATTTTTCACGATCCCTAGTTTTTCTCAAAAAAAAATTCCTCAAAAAAACTAGTTTTAAAAACTCATAACCAAACAAGTTTTGAATTCAATTTTTAAAAATTATTTTCAAAACTTATAACTAAACAAGTTTTTTATTTTCAATTGTCAAAACTATTTTTGAAAATTCAAAACCCAAAACTGATTTGAAAATTAAAACCAAATGGAGTGAAAGCATTGGAGATCAATTTTTTTCATCAAATTTAATAAAAGTGAAAATTTAGGATAGAAGGGGGATTTTTAAAATCATTTTGATAAAAAAAAATTAGAATAATTCATATCAAATTAAATTTTTTATTTAAATTTAAAATCAAATTAAATAAAATAATAGTAAAAAATTGAATATGTTATAATTTCATTAGGTTCAACTGGTAAAATCCCAATTCAAAAATAATAATAATAAATAAAAAATAAAACTTGTAAAATCCCAAACATTTTAGGTTAATTTTTACACTTGCTTAAAAACAATTTCAATATTGAGCGGTGATGAAGATATCTCCATATCATAAGTAAAATGAATAAAAGTAAGGATATAAAGAGA